CTATTTTATGCCATTGCAACACCTTTATATCAATATGCCTGCAAGTTAAATTCAGCCAACATTCCATACAATAAAATGTAGTCGAAACGGCAATCCCGGCTCCTTCGCTAACTCAGGAAAATGTTCGTCTGAGGGTCGCATTATCGGGGCCATACGACCACTGTATATTTATTGCAGACGAGACTTGATCCAAGAGTGAAAATGATATCGCTAATAGAATGAAATATGGAAAGTAGGTCGAAGATTAGTACGGATGTCACCCTCAACTATTCGACCGCAGGAGAAACTCTCCGCAGTAGAAATGCACCCGAGTTCTTTGTCTTGTGCAACAGACACTTACATCGTTGTCCATTTTGACGTCCTGGAACCGCTGAGCTATGTAGTCCGTGCCATGCATGACTTGGCGCAGCTTTCGACTAATCCGCGCCTGGACGCATGGTTCCTCCCTCTCCAAACTCTGACTGATGGCTGCTACCAAAGGGTCTAGGTAGACACTAGAGTCATCTTCAGGACGCTTTCCACCTGACAGGCGGTTTGGTTGTCCTGTTGATGGTGCTACTGCTAACGTGAGGGAACGCCGACGTTGCAAACTACGGTTACTCAGCGAGAGTCGTGTCGGACAAATCATCTCTTGTGGTGATGGTGGTTTTGGTGGACGCGGTCGCAGTGTCCATGTGTTGTGGTTTGAAAGACTCGCCTGCTTCCTCGTATGCTGATGCATCTCAATGGGCAGTTCGTCGTCATAATGTGCCTTGCTCCTTGTTTTGTCCTGTGAATATGATAAATCAGTTCATCATCCTTTGGAGACAAGATCAAGAACTCCTTATCATAATGCCGCTGTTGACTTAGACCTATGAGCATCCGACTAAAATGGATTAAAATCTGTTAAATTACAAAATGGACTTAGTGATAAAGGAACTGAATTCACCACTTATAACTTATCAATGAGAAGTCTTCATATTGACCCAACTGTGAAAAACTCGGCGCCTCGGTGGGATTCGAACCCACGCAGTAAGGGGGAAGGCTTTAGTACAGCGAACGCTCTAACCACCTGAGCTACGAGGCCCCGCCGGATGACGCGAGTTTTATCACACGTGGGTCAAGTTACCCGCCCAACCTACTGCAACGTCTGGAATCTACCAAATCTGATACAGTAAGTTGACTGACCAAGCAGGATTTCCTAAGTAATTCACCTAGAATCCACCAGATGACTACTAGGCTCACGTAATTCATTGATATTTTGGCAGATTTTGAATAATTCATATATTCATAATTCATATATTGGGTCAATATGAATTATTCAAAATCTGCCAAAATATCAATGAATGAGAAGTCTGTTCAACCGGAGGGTACACTAGTGCAGGCAGCATTGTTGGCCGAAGACAGTATAATGCTTCCATTGTAATTATTACAATGACTGACTAACCGAAACAAATCGTCCCAATTAGCATGCATGTTCTTGATGAGACTATAAGTCATATTGACCCAACTGTGAAAAACTCGGCGACTCAGTGGGATTCGAACTCACGACAGTAAGCTGAAGGATTTAGTACAGCCAACGCTCTAACCACCTGAGCTACGAGGCCCCGCCGGATGAATTTGGGTCAGAATCAGAATTTGGGTCACGTTGCAGTATGTTGGGCGGGTAAACTTGATCCAAATATGATTAAACTCACGTCGTCCGGCTGGACCTCGTAGCTCAGGTGGTTAGAGCGTTGGCGGTACAGAAGCCCTCCCCCCACAGTTGTGGGTTCAAATTCCCCCGAGACACCGACTTTTTCACAGTTGGGTCAACACATCTATGAGCCCATAATTGTCCATTGGAGGCCAGAGTATGAGAGATGCTGAGGTTGATTAAGGACACAATTTAACGTTGAAAACACTATTAAATATTTGGTAGGAAATGCAGAGCGTTTTCACGCAAATTAGAAAACATGCTCTTACAAGGACATCGCAAAGCTTTAGCCAATAAAACTTCCTTCAGCCTGAATGCACCGTTGGAAACGATTGCATGAATTTACTCATCGTTGCTTGTTTACGTTGGCCATAACGTTCCGGTACAAGTTTTTGACGAGTGTTAGATACTGTGAGTATGCTCTTCGCACTAGCTCACAACAGCGTCTATGATTTAGTATTTCGGCTGGATTTACTTGAGGTAATTAAGCAGGGATGAATGGTCCATGGAATCACTTGTGGACTACATGAACTCTGACAAAATAAACTGTTGGTATTGACGACAAGAAGTAATAATCTGAGGTTGCGGCTTCCGTGATCAAAACTCCAACTTTCCTCACTATAAACGACAAGACGTCCTTAAATCTATTACGGTGCGCTCAAACTGACGGGATAACTCAGCCTCGGAGGACGGAGAGTCAGACTGTAATGGCTCCTTCTTAATGTGCCCTTATTGGCACTTCCACTCAGTTGGGATCCGATCGGCCCTCCCCTTTTATTGATGTGTACAATCCTAGTCAGTTGTACTTGGTGGACCAGGGGGCGTTGTGGTACGCTAAGATGCGGGTTTTCGCCGTGACAGTCAGTTGCGCCCTCTCCCGCCACTGATCCTCCTAACTTTGTCATAACGCGCGGCCCAGGTGGGAGGGGAGGAAAGAGTGCGGTTGATGCAGCGCAATTCAGCTATCAGTAGAAGCGGATTGGCGCCCAAATCACTGTCTCTGTTCCCACTCTGCTGTGCAGCACAGGGTGATGTTCGTCTAAAACGACCGTCAAACTGTTGAAATTATGTATGGTAGTATAGGGGAGCAAACCTATTCCACTTTATATCATGGCTCATCCTTAAGCGCTGAAGGAGTCGGAAGAAGCAAGTTCCACTCGTGGTGATCTGGAAGCCGTAATTGGGAGCTGACAGGCATATTATTTACTGCGATTCAGAGTCCGGTGATGACATAGTTAAATTTCACGCAGTCAAACAAAATATACTATTTTTGTCCTATCAAATTTCCATTTTTAGGAAATCGCTGTTATTAGAAGTCGTTGAACGCAATATGCATAGAGCTGAGATCGATGTAATTATTACTGACTTGCTTCCCATAGGCGTCATAGATAGGAAGTTTGGCCTTATTGCCCAGGAAAATAAACCTGTAGTCAGCAGCTGGTAGCCCAGGTTAGGTTGGAAAACCTCCACAGTGAAAAATGAACAAAATTAGCGGGCCTGACAAAAACGATTAAAAGGTTCCCTTGATTTTTACTTCCGAAGTACACTAAGTTGCTTCCATTCTTATCGACCAAAATAGTAGCAATCGCCTTGAGACTAATAGTAACGCCATCGCTCTCACACGGCACAACTCATCACAAAACGGCAAAACTCATCGCTAGTGTAGATATCAAGAAGGTTATCAGATACTGCGTCTCGTGTATCAAGAGCACTTAAACAAAATTGAAACTAAAACCGGCATAGCGAGTTTTTACATTTTTAAGATTGATCATCCACGTTTTAGAAAAGAGAAGAAGAAGAATATAAACTAAACGGATGTAATACGAGAGTAGAATGAGAAAAAGAAGAGCGGAAACAGAAGATGGCGTATGAAAAAGAATTTGGACGAGAGATAAGGGCAGGATACACAAAGAAAGTAAGCAAAGCAAGGCAGTTTCAGAGCTCAAACTGGACTCTCGTTATCAAGCCTTCAGGTATTACCGACGAGGTTTTAGTCTCTTGCCAGAGCAGGTTGTCGGCGCTAACTTACGCCTGAATGCATTCTATTTGATCAACCCCTGACCACTTCGAATGGTTTGAAAATTTAATTAACTCTGTGATCACTAGAGTGGAGAGACCCGGTTGCCGGTGAAGAGGGAAAGGGGGCTTGCGGTTGCCGGCCGCAAGACGTATACTTATTTCACTATTAAATCAGCAAGGAGCTTTGTTCATAGTCCTTCGCCAGGAATTTTCAACTGAAGGTCTTCAATTGGTAACTTATCTCTCCAGAAAGAGAATTTATACACGAATTGGTGAAGGTATGAGAAGTCTCCACGTCACCGAATTCTCCAAGAATAGGTTATTTATAATTCGGTGTTGTTTAAGTAACGCCAGGCATGCTTCGAAAAAAATGTGGCTTTGCCAAAGCAACAAATTGTTCCTACCAGCATGTCGAGGTCGGTATCTTTAAGCCTTTGCAAAAACAAGATTATTACATTTGTGTAAGAAAACTGTCTTATGCAAAAAGGTGAAATGTCGAAAGTCGGTCTGGAGGGCAGGAATTCCGCTATCATATGCAATAAGTGGCCGCACATGGCGTAGGCTGGCTTAAAGGCGATCGCTAGGTGAGCTGCGCAGACTATCAAACAAGAAGTGTAGCGCCTAGACAAACATTTAATGGATGAATGATATCCCTGTGGGATTGTACACCTCGACGGTGAAGAAAATTTTAAAATTACTGGTAGTATTTGTTTAGACTGTGCGGATGTGGCCTCACAATGCCGTTAACAGAAACGATAAAGCAAAGCAAATGAGCGATGTGTGCTAGTCTATGCAATGTGCGCTTGATTTTTGAAGAAAAGGGGCCTCAATTCCTCCGACTACATCCAAAGCTGTTAACTTTTAAATCCAATTTGAAACAGTTACTGGCTTGACATACATTCCTTATACTTCTTTTGATCCAGCTCTGCCCTAAACCGACATAAGATCCGCACATGCGTAAGCACATGCCCTGCTGGATTGTAGTAATTACAAAGTTGGCGCAATTTGTATTTGAATAATACAAGCTGATGTGTATTTGGAGGAAATCGATGTAGGCACCAACGTTTTTCGTCCCCAGATGCAGCATACCTTTCTGAAGTCCATCTATGCTGCTCAACAGAATGCAATCTGCAGTCGGCGATAAACCGATCTCGGTTTAGCTTAAAGGCGGCCGCCAATAAAGATAATCAAACCGGACCTCTCTCTTCTTCTGTTAGAGTCCGGAACTGTTGTGCTGTTTCTTTGTGACCTCGATTTATGCCATCACCTTATTTTGTGATCAGAACCAGGTACAATCCTACAGGATTTAGGACCGACGGTCCGAACATACCTTGTTTCCATGGTCTCCACTTCTTGGCGGATTGAGCCGCATCAGTCTGGGTAAAAACTCTAAGAAGACTGTCTTTGTGAAGGTCGAGATGACGTGCGTCTTAGCGGATCGAAAGTGCAGGCTGAGAACCATGACTGTGGACACGATGGAAGAGGTGATGAGGATGATGGTAAAGAGTAGGTATTTGCCAAGTAACGGTACCGCCAGGCTGGTAGGCGGGATTGTTTCCGAGATGAGGAGGAAGAAGAGGGTGAGGGATATGAAGACGTTGATGGAGAGGGAAATTTTCTCCCTGCTCTCGGGTGGCAGGTAGAAGGTGAGTAGCATGAGGGCTGTGATGGCCACACATGGCATCATGAGATTGAAAGTGTAGAAGATGGTGCGTCTTCGCATGCGCAAGTAGAAGGTCACTTCGGGATAGGCGTGGTGCGAGTACTTGTAGTAACGTTCCTGGCATTTGGCACTCATAGAAAGCACCTCGAACTCGATGGTACTGTTGAATTCGTAGAGGTCGGCAGCATAGTCAATGTAGATGGGACGCGTCATTTCCGGCACGTACTTTTGCAGATGATGACGAAGTTCAACTAGTTGAAGATTGAGTTAGTTTGTGTATGCGGAATGAGTAACGCACTAAAGAATTCAGTGACTCTTTTTAAGGTAATGGATGTACTAGTTGTAAAGGACTTGCTTCAAGCATCCAGTTTGGACTGATTAAGCTGAACTTTGCAACAGGAGCCACGAACAGGATTCAGTTTTCATTTTCGGCCAAAATATTTTAAGACGAGAGCTGCTTTATTCGACCAAAAGAGGTGAGTAATCAACAAATGTAGGCTTTGTCCGCTTATTCAGATTGTAAAACCCCATATGTTTGTTCATATTAGCTTAATTATTGGGCACTTGGCTTTAGACTGACTCGGTTGCGAGCCTAGTAAGATTTGACTTTGTCAGAAATTGGGCTGATGAGGAAAAAGTTGTAAAAGCATGGTTATTGTTAAGATTTTGTAAAAGTTACAAGGATCAACCAAAACCCTCACCCGAAAGATCCGGGTCATCATCACCTGCTGATCTTAATTCGATAGACGCAAAGGAATGGCCCTGACTGCATAGTTACAGTCGTTGATAGGCTGTAGACTTCTCAGTGTCATTAAAAGATCTGCTCAAAGTGCGACAAACAAGACAAATTGTCTACCAGTTAGGATTTAGCTGCCGCCGTTGGGAGGATGTTTCCGTTTCGAAAAAAGCAAGTAATGAGACGTTGTATCAAAAATGGAATGAAATCATCCATCGTAATCTCGCTCGCCTTATCTGCCAACTGCACTTGACTTAGTTTCCGTAAATCAGCTTACAAAGCACGAACTTACTAGGAAAAGGTGCGTGGTCAATTTACTTTCCGGCGAGCGGTTTCCTAACGCCAAATGGCAATTCTTCGAAATATCAGCAGCCGAAAGGGTATTAGTCGGCGGCTCGAATCCTAAGGCGTCCCACTGAAAATATCCGACGACCAATTTTCCGGAGGGTCATATGTGAGGTTACATGACCTGGGATTGCTTTAAACTGGCCGCTAACGGTAAAGTAGGCAGAGATGGGTAACATGAACACCTCCGACTTTGTTAGCCGTCCTTGTTCACTGGTAAACGTGTTCTTTACGAAGTGGACGCAAGATATCTTACAGATAAATATAGCCAACTGCATTCGAAGCAGGTGCACCAGGGTGATCGAGAATGAAACTCCGAAGCATATTCTGCCTCTGGAGAAGCGTTTCGTTCAGAAGTTGGGATACTCAAACAGTCCACCGTCTAAAATCCCATTAGGACTACTTTACACGAAAAGCATCTTGAAACTACTTTCACTGGTAGGTACACAGTACTGCTCATTAGGCCTCTCAATGTTTGCAAATGGATCTATGTGTCTGAAGAAGACAAGGGCAAGCGGAAATGACAGCCATGATGCTTTTTTGTTGTTCGTTCGTGCAGACGTTATTGAAAGTAGCTCATGTGCTGTAAATGCACCACCCTCCTGTCATCCATATTTCTTGCCTAAAAGCAAAAAACTGCACATGGTCGTACTTCCAGCAATCTGCCCAGCTCTTCTTTTCACTAACATCGCCCTGGTTATTGTCCTTTCAGACTCTAAGCGGTGTGTTTGTGGGGCTATCGCCACGAAGTTGGCAGGAAGCAGGAGATTATGGGGGCAGTTTACAGTCGAGTCAGAAGATCTGACGGTTCAAACCCTAATGTGGAACTGCGGAGAGGGGCAAATGCATGTACTTGGCTATCCACATAAGCCGTCAAGTAGAAAATACCGTTCAAGCAGTCGTTTGCATTAGCGGTCGCGTTGTCATTATCATCAAAAACAAAATCTACAGCACCATCGTTATGTCATTCATCACCCTAAACGGACTGACACGTCTTCCTAAAGAAAGGACGACTCTTATTTGAAGAGAAGGGCTTCAGTGAGTCATTACGAAGCAGACTTGTTTCATCCTGTTTCATTTGCCAGTCATCACTAATATGGACTGTAAAATACCTACTTATAAGACTAGTGCCAGAATATTGTGCGGTACACTATGGGTGGTCTACGCTATTTTGACGGTCATATATGATAAAAGCCGCCTTCTCGTCTTCGACACATTCCTAAGGATGCTAAACAGTAATACTTCACAAACTATGAGCCATGCAAAACTGAGATCGCCGCTGTTTGATCGGTTAGATTGTATCCTGAGTAAGTGGCCAAACGTTTCACTGTGCTCTCGTGACCACAAGAAAAAACGGAAACTGGACTGACTTTTAAATAATAACACGAAATACTGCGAGATTATCACTTTCTTGGGAATAGCTCAGCTTGTCCATTCTGTGCACGAATCTGAGGTAGCTTTGAAACAGAAAAGTAACTCAATTCTGTCCACCCAGGGGACCCGAACAATGTTTCTACCAATGTTTTGCAAGTAAATCACAAAATGAAAGGCAGACGTAAACCTGAGATAGTAGATTATGACAATACTTGCAAAAGCAAGAAAAATGTCAAGTGCATGACTGCATGTAATGGGCGGACGTTACTTGTAGAGAAAAGGGAAAACTACGGTATATGCCTGAGAAAAGACCACCACCACTGGATTTAGCTTGCAAACTAATATCAGAATAAGTATGTGCTATTTCATCGTAGTTGAAACTTATGGATCGAGGCATATATGTGATGGACAGGTGTAGTTATGCAGCCGTACCTGAGGTAAACAAACCCCAGCCACCTGTAATGCGTGATTGGTGATTGTAGGGGTTTTTATAGGTGGGGCCGGGGAACGCACAGGCGACGAGGTCAAGTGAACGCAAAAAAAGCTATTGTGAACGCGCGGTTGTACTTTGAGTGGTTGAGAAATAGTTGCCCTAATCCGATACCCTAACCGCTAAACCTAACCCCTAAATACAACCCCCTAACCTTACCTTGACAGTATTATGTCCACCAGGTGCGGCTGCATAGCCACATCTTACCCATGTTGATATGCATCAAATCCCGTATTAAGATAAATTAAGTCAGCAAGGGACATTTAGTAGGGTAGATTGCGTCCTCCAAGTTTTGACATTGGATTCAAAAGCTTGCCGAAATTGAATATGTAAAGTACATACACCTCTATTTTACGAGCCGATTGGTTGCTTGAAGGCAGTATAAACCCACCTTTGCTGCCGTCGTATGTCCAGGAGCCAAACCGCATAGAGCATTCTTGCTCGTCATACGGGAAGAATTCGACGTTGATCCTGCAGGAGGTCAGATAGAGCGCTGGCGGCATCCAACGGACCAAGCCGTTGTAGAAGACCTGAGCCTTTGTCAGTGTTGTGATCTCATACTTCCCGTCAGCACTAACGGTTTTAAAACATATGATGACAATGACCATTACATTTCTTAAGAAACAGCTTCGCCGAATAGAAGTAAGAAATAAAAAAATGTTTTCTTGTTGACAGAATAGGCACAGTGGAGATGTAAATGAAGTGGCATGTTTTAAATAAACTTTAGCAAAGCATTAACAAGGCTGTATGTTTTTAATGAGAAGAGGAAGTAATTATCGCCCACATGCTTCACCTTATAACTCGTTCCCATATAAACGTAATGGCCCGATAAGAATTTATCGAAAGCACGCGTATGCCCGCCAAGTGCTCTTCAGAAGTAACTACGCTGTCCTAAATTACACCTCCAGGGCACAAATGCCAGAGCTTAAGAAAGTTCATCATTTGCAACTTATTAAGGGAACTAATGCCTGATTTTTTGTTTTTCGTTTGGATAAAGGAAGTCTCAAATGAAATCAATTTTATAACTAACATGAAATTGATAGTGGTAAGGCATTGACCTCAAGGCAACTTCGGAGCTTCCCAATTAGGCTAGAATCTGTTCTTCTTGCCAGTGGAAATTAAATTACTGCTTTCTGTGAAACGAAAAGAACCAAAAAGGACTACTGCCAACGCTATTTGCCTCCTGTCTGCCGGTAAAATACTGTCGTTATATTACTCCTTTCATTGGTTAACAATATTGTCAACTTAAACTTCGGAGATTAGAATTGTCTGCTCTAATTTATATGCTGTCTATACTCAGTCATGCTCAAATTCCGCGTCCATTTGATGTGGACTTCGAATCTTGGTCAATTTGAAGAAATATTTAGACGCGCATCAGTTGAATCACGGGCTCTCTCTGTCAGATGTTCTCCTAAATAGTAGAAAAATCATATGAGTTTGCGTCGGTCAGTTATGCATGATTTATAGGCGGAGTACAGCCTTTCGGTTCTGCTCCGAAACCTCGATCTTGGCCCGCTTGAATCCGTCGCACATACAGACATTTAAAAGTTTAAATGAACAGCAAAGGAAGGCTGGACCTTGCTAAGTAACCATTTCCGGTATATTCGTGTTGCCATTCAACCAGACCATGAGCGGGAAGCCAAGAAGTTTAAATAAGGGTTCGTTTGCACATGGGGTCATGTGCTCTAGTGCTTTTCCTATTCCTGGACTACCGTTTGTTTACTAGTATGCTACCGGGCTATGGACCAAGGCTGAAGCATAGCAGGGGCAGAGAGCAATCAGTCCTATGATTATGCTGGTTCAATGACTAGCACTGAAGCGGGACATTTGACTGTATTCGGCGCGTGCATTTCACAGCAGATTCATTTTAAAGACTAAGCAAAGACGATAGAAAGTTAGACTGACAGCGAACGAGGCGGTAGAGGGTGATCGAGGACAACTACGCCCAGCAACAGTGCTAATGAATAATGCTTAATTTGGCACACATCTGCACGGCACAATTCATCTCAGCGTCCATTCAAAGGCAGTCATTCTCATGAGCGATGCACATACTTGTTGTAAAGTACGATATCCGGTTTCCAAATCTCCTCTGCGGGAACATGAAGCATGCGTACGCCTCCATAGTCAGCGGGATTCCACGTAAATTTGCTATCAGTCCACTCCTGTTCGACCCAGACCTTTGTGGTGATCACTTCCTTCCGTTCATCCTGCCGATAAAGAGGGTAAACTCAGTTCCCGGAGGCAATACTCTGGTCCAAAACGCTGACAAACAAAAAATTCCCCACTTAGCATTAGAAGACAACTAACGGCACAATGCCCCGTCTTTTTCTACAAGAGAGCAAGCGGTTTAACTGTGAGCAAGCCTACTCACCTCCACTCAAATCTTGGATATCTGTTCTCTGGTGCTAAGCGACCTAATAGAATTTTCTCCAGGCATGTAAAATAGAGTAATGAGAAGAAAGATCTGTCTGTTCAGGGTTTGCCTGAAAACATTCACCACATAGTTCAATCTAACCTTCTTTTTGAGGACGAGTCGAAGTAACTGTACTGGCACTGAATACCTGTCCGGCGAAATGCCAAATTTAAAGAACTGATTATGGCACGGACTTATATTACAAATATGCCAATGTTTGTGTCACATTGATTACAGAACTCAAATATATTACTAATCCCGTTATATATTGAACTAATCTTCTGATAGTGGTGCCATCTTCAGACAGTTGTTAAGAGCAATGTTAGTTGGCAGGTCAGAATGGTTGATTCGTAGGCATTGGTGCCGTTTTTTACGGTAGGATTATTCAGGGCAAGTGACATGTGCATACGTCCGTCTGGACGACAGGCCACTTCCTGCAAATCCGAACTCGTGATCAGCTGGGCTCCGTAGAGAGCCTGGACAGAGTGCTGGGATTTTGTTGTTATTCGTGCAGCATATAGGACCCAAACGTTCCTCTTTAGACGTCTTCGCTTGTCAAAAATGTGACATCAACTACCAATCCCTCACGGAAGTCCGTAGTTCAAGCGCAATTAACGAGGATCACCACCATCCTGAGGTCACAGTTGTGTTTCGTGGATGGTGAACAAAACTTGCGCAGCATCTACTTCAACATCCTTTTCCAAGCCCATCAGACTTCAGTGGCATTAAAAAGCCAGGACAACTGCAATTCTTATGAGTGCACTGGTCGATATAACAGGAAAAAGTCGTCTTTGTGTGCTTACACATGTTGGTCCCTGGAAGAACACTAGTCAGACTTCAAACGAAACAATGTCTGGTCTGACATTGAAAGTAGTTGTCATAGTCATCAGAGTAAACAGGGACTCCTGTAATCTGATCCTTACTGATTAGATGGATCGAGTTATTCCATCGATCTTTACCCTCTCAAAGTCGGACGTTTAGCACATTGCAGTAATAAAAGTGCGCGTCAAGGTTCTTAGTAAAAAAGGTTTGGAGTGACACAAATATAGTTTCAGAAAGATTGACCTTATCCACTTTCGGACGAAAAAACAACCTGAAGTTTATACGAGTGCACCACTATCCAAATAAACCTCACCCCAGTCAGTAGCTTACAAGTTGTCCTAGGAACTCTCCAGATCCACTTGATTAGTAACGGCGTTCTCTCTGTGGAGCCGACGGCTCTATAGTGACGAATATGGGGCAACCAAACAGATTAGATGATGACAGCACCCCGCGTGTACTTGAAAGCGTCATTTGCAAAGGGAGTGGCTCACAGTCGTAAATCATCAACCCACCGACGGACTATACGTTTAAAGAGCCTCATTTTTGGGTGAAATAATGATCAGTTTCAGTGCCACCGTGGAGAAGACAAACTTGTTGATTCACTTTGAAATTCTAAGACGCGGCCTGAAAGATCTTAGATACAGTGCAACGGAGTTCTCCCGCTACTGAAAAATGAGAGGTTGTTTTGAGCAAATTAATCAGTAAAATTATAGGTCCTATTCACTTGGTGCTTCTGAAGGACCACTAAACAAAACCTCCGCGAACGCCTTAAGTATTATAATAGATGTCAGAAACAGCCAGTCAACTTCTTTCGACTCGTCCTACTATGGTTAGCGACAAAAAATAACATAATTTAGTCCCTTTCGAAGCCCTGAAAAATGCTTACGTACAACATCAACCACTTGGTCAAGCCGCAAGCCCAAATACACGATGGTGGCTTGACTGTCATTGGTCGCCGGTCGAATCATTTTGTTGTATCGTTCGCGATTAAGTAGATGATTGTAGAGGTCCTTCTTGTGCGCTATGCCGACTGAAATTAAAAAGCACGTGTGACATTTCGGTAAGGGGTGGAGATTAGAAATATACTCATGGTCTACATGGAGCACAGGCCCATAAAATCCCGCCTCGTGCGTAAATTCGCACTTATCTGATAAGCATTGATCACCAGCAGTCTGGGCATAGGATTGAGAAATATGCATTTGTAGTCGCGTTGCATAGCGTGTTTGCTTAATGGCAGCCCATCGGACCGGCTGTGCATTCGATCGCACTGCTTTGATCGTTCTTTTCTAAGCTCACGTCGCGGGGGTGCAGACTTTGGACATGCAGCTTTTTCTACTGCCTTCTGCTTATGTGTTATTCAACGCAGCTGGCAAGAAGCTGAAGAAGCAGCCAGCAAGTGTTCTGCTGGTGCTGTGTACTTTTTCTAACGGAGCATGTTTGACATCACGCACATGGCAGTGTGAAGTTGTCTACGGCTAACCTACTTTCAGCCGGGATAAAACATGTAAAATTCAGAGGCTGCTTGCTTAAGTATTCACGCAAATGATGTCGAAAACCCTAGGTTGGGTTTTTGGCGCACGACTTTATGCTACATTTAATTTAAAATAACTGTGCCCAGGAATGACCGACACTTGCGGATCCAGTGATGCGGGCGACATTGGAGTGTTCAGAGAATTCATTAAGTTAACACCGAATCGAGAGGAAATTTACAGAGCTTCAGTGTCTTTTATCGAGCAGGCCGTTCTACGCCTAAGTAGATGAAATCATATTGCCAGTTTAGAGTGTTTTTACTAACATGCCGTAGTACATTCCTGTGCAGGTGCTGAAAGCGGTCTGGAATATGAGACACAACGCTGATTCAGAAACAGGTATCGAAAACGTTTAGTGTAAAAGCGAATGTTTATTAACATACATGTTAAACAGGTTTAAGCATTCGACAATATGACCTGGGTATATCATTATAATTCGCTTATTGTTCCTCTTTATGTTGGTCTCGTCCATTCTGTTTTAGCAATTAAACACAATTAATGCTTTTTTAAACATTTATATGGAAGTTATCATAGAACTACACATATCTCTAGTTGAATTTAGACGAGTCATCATTTACGCCAAAAAATCAATGGCACTTTTTATACGACACTTTTCGGGCATAATTTGTCGGTGGTTACTAACTTCTTTACTTTGCGGATGACTTGACTTGTTATGAGTGGGATATATTTTTGGGTGAAATCACTAAAAGAATTCTCTAATTTCCTCCCCCAAGATTTT